ATTCTTCAGGATCCTAAAGAACCTATTGTCACACATGAGGGGAAGCAACAACAGCCTCAAACAGAAGATGTGCCAAATGTGGAGGCTCCTAGAAGGTCTGAAAAAGTTAGTAAATCAGCTATTCCTGCTGATTATGAAGTGTACAATACTAAGAAATTTCAAATGGAGGCTGATCCCACCTTATTTGAAGAAGTCATGAGAAGTGATCATTCATCAAAGTGGCTTGAGGCCATGGAAGATGAAATGGAATCGATGAATGCCAATAGAGTTTGGGATTTGGAAATAATTCCTAAAGGAGTCAAAACAGTAGGCTGTAAATGGGTCTACAAGACTAAACATGACTCTCAAGGGAATATAAAGACATATAAAGTGTGACTTGTGGCAAAATGCTTTATGCAAAGAGAAGGGATTGATTACAATGAGACCTTTTCTCCAGTCTCATGTAAAGTTTTCTTCAGAATCATAATGGCATTAGTGGCACATTACGATTAAGAATTACATCATATGGATGTAAAGACAGCATTTCTCAACAGAGACTTGGAGAGAAATGTTTACATGGCACAACCGAAAGGTTTTGTTATGGAAGGAAAAGAACGAACGGGATGTCGTCTAAAGAAATCCATTCATGGATTAAAACAAGCTTCAAGACAGTGGTACTTGAAGTTTGATCATACAATAAAGGATTTTGGGTTTTAAAGAGAATATAGAGGACAATTGTGTCAATATAAAGTTTAAGAATGGAAAGTTTATCTTCCTTGTCCTGTATGTAGATGATATCTTACTTGCTAGTAGTGATGTCAGTCTACTACTGGAGACAAAGAAATTTGATATGAAAGATCTTGGCGAAGCCTCGTTCGTTCTAGGGATCGAGACTCACCGAGATAGAAGAAAAAGGGTATAAGGACTGTCACAAAAGGCATACATGGAAAAGATCTTAAAGAAATTCAGTATGCACAAATGTAGTTCCTCACCTGCTCCTATAGTCAAGGGCGACAGATATGGGGATTTTCAATGCCCTAGGAACCAATATGAGCTCAATCGATAAAGTAAAAGTGGTTCCATATGCTTCAGCTGTCGGAAGTTTGCAACATGCTCAAGTATGTACGCGCCCTGACTTGGCATTTGTTATCGGGTTTTACTTGGCAGATTCTAGAGCAATTCTGGAATAGAACACTGAAATTAGTAAAGAAAGTCTTACATTATTTGCAAGGAACAAAAGGCCTCATGATGACATATAGAAGATCTGATTCACTCCACATGGTGGGATATTCAGATTCTGATAATGCGAGAGTGAATGCATATCCAGACGTGTATTTTCTATCATCTCGCAAAGGGGAGCTATTTCATGGAAAAACTCAAAGCAAACTGTCACTACATCGTCCACAATGTATGACAGTTTGTAGTGTGTTATGAGGCAACGGGCAGGTGAACTAACTAACAAAGTTCATACCCGGTTTGAAGGTGGTTGATGACATCTATAGACCACTAAAGTAATACTGCGATTATAATCTGGCAGTACAGGATGCTCACAACATAAGTCAAGTGGTACTACCAAACACATTGACATAGAGTATTATGTTGTGAAAGATAAAGTCCGGGATCAAGTCATAAGTCTTGAGCATATAAGAACAGAAAGGATGCTCGCGGATTCGCTTACAAAAGGCTTACCATCCAACATGTTCAGAGGACATAGTGTTCAGAGAACATGTAGCTAGCTTAGGTTTAAGGGAAAGCCTAAAATATTCCTGGACAAAAGAATGCCCAAAGATAAGTATCTATTTCATAACAGAGTAGTGAGTTGTAGCTGTTAAGTCTATCGGCAATGGACCGTGACGATGAGACATGCTCTATGAGCTAATCTGTAATGGAATGAACAAAAGTAAATGATATGAAAGTGAAAGATGGAATGAGATCAAGGGGGAGAATGTTAGTTGATCTCCACCAATAGGCCCAACGGTCTATTGGGCCCTTGCCTCTGCTCCCTGATCGGGGGAGCCCAACCCTAACTGGTTGGTGGGCCCCTGTCGCACAGCACATACAAATAGAGAAGGTGGGGATCGGGGCTCGAACTACGAGGTTCACCGTGAGCCGCCACTCCCACCTACAGTAACCCTAAACCGATCTAAAGACCGTGCTGCCAGCGACGGGATGTGCCCCACCACCACCGTCTCGCCTGCAGGTTCTCCGCCGGCGCCACTGGACTTCTCTCCACCGCGCTGGACGACTCCTCCTACACCGCGACACCGGCGTCTACGTTGCTGTGCCGCAAAGAGAAACGTCAAGGAGGCTAACTGGATCTACGGTTACACACAGAGGTACACACATCGATCCTAACACTATATATTTATATGTTGTAGATATACATAGCTATTATATAATAGATAAAGCGTTGAAGGTCCACATGTATTTAGAGCAAGGACCATGATTTAGCCGGCTGAAGGCGGTAAGCAAAGGCCATGTCACTTAAAGCCGGCTATTCAGCCTGCTAGTATAATAAGAGGCTGTTTAACTAGCTGCAGTGAAGATTTAAGGTTGTCATATGCATTCAATCTGATGTGGCCTATATCTTTGTGGCCATACATGCATGCTCAATTCATCATGTAGAAACCATATATGTTTATCTATGTCATTACCAAACAATATATTCTGAGAACAACATATTCTAAGATGAACCAAAAGTAGGTACTTAAATAAAAGAAATAATACCAGATAAATGACAAATTTTAAGCAACAATTCACTAATGATATGGTGGCATAGCACCATGACACGTCACTTAAAATAACATAGTCTAGATTATAGAAAAGCAACAACTTCAACCAATACTAAAGTTCGCTGGCACACATGCCATTATTTATTCATGAAAACAGAGTTGATAGTTGGCCTTCGGTAGGGAGCAGTCAACCCATTTGCATCAAAAGACATGACACTGCAAACATATAATAGTGCAAAAATTAGAACAAATGGCCCCTGAAATTAGATATAGAAGTTTCTATTTGAAAAAAGTTAGATACCGCAAGTAGCATCTACAACATTCAAAGAAGCCATGCCCAATCCCGATTCCTAAAAAGATACATGTAAGACATCATGTTAGTTCTCACGGTGAAGGGAAAAAAAATAACGAAAACATGCAGATTTCAGAATTCTACCATGACTAGTTATGATGGTTATTTCCAAACCTACGCCAAATGTGCTCAATCGATCATCTTTAAGCTTTGGGTATCTTTGTGGATGATTACGGATAGCATCTTTTCTACGCATCACATCAAAGAAAGCGTAGATTACTACTAGTGTTCACTTCAGGAGGTAGAGCAAGCGATGCACTTGGATTCTCATTCAAGTCAATATGAATCTTAGCATTCTCTCTTTCATCTTCCACTATCATATTGTGGAGGATCACACAAGCTAGCATGATCCTTCCAACACTCTTTCTCTTCCATAGACGACGGGCCTACGAACAATGGAAAAATGGGACTGCAGATGCACCCCAAAAGCACGCTCCACATCTTTCCTTGCCCTTCTTCTTGATGCTCAAAGAAATAACTTATGCTTCTCTATTTGTGGAAGTGTTATACTCTTCATGAAGGCTGTCCATTCTGGTATATACCATCGACAAGGTAATAACCGATTATATATTCATTACCATTGACCTGAAAACTAAATTTGAGGGGCCTCTCCTTTTAAGGCATCAAAAAAGTGGGGATCTGGTTGAGCACATTTAGGTCATTATTTGATCCAAAGAACTCCAAAGAAAGCATGCCAAATATGAAGGTCCCGGGAAGCAACACTTCTAGCACTATAGTTGGAACTCCATAATCGCCACGGGTGAATTGCCCCTCCATGCTAAAGGACACTTCTCCCAACGCTAGTGCATGCAATCTATGCTACCTAGCATTTCGTGGAAACCACGAGACTCGTTAACTTTGTAGTATCGCTCAACATCCTCACATGTGGGGCGTCGTATGTACTCGCCACCAAAACACCTCAATCACCCCTCGTGCAAACTTGTCCAAGCACACTAATGCAAAGGACTTCCCAATCTTTAAGTACTCATCAAGAGCATCTGCAGGATCGCCATAAGCTAGCATGCGCATGGTCTGCTCAGACACTTCAAGCAGTGGTGATAGCCCTATTCGACCAAAGACAATCATCCCTATAAGTAAAATAGGAGACCACTCGACCAAGGGCATCCACAATGCGTAGGAAGATACGCCTATTCATATGGAATCTAGTACGGAACATACTCTCGGGGTAGAGTGGTTCTGTAGCAAAGTAGTCCTCTACAAGACGCTCGTGAGCACCACCATGATCCCTCCGGATGCTCTTTCTATAACCATATTGGCGTTGAGGTACTCCAGCCGAGAAAGCAGCCTTGAACTTCATTGCGAGCTTCCTAGGAAAGGAGTCTAGGACGCTCTGCTCAGCAATATGCTCTTCAATGATTTTGGTAGGGGCTAGCTCATCGGAATCATCTGAGTATGAGGATGAATCCGACATGGTTTTGACTTAGCAGGAAGATGAGAGTGTTCTGATGAGTTGTAGAAGTGAGATGGGTTTGGGAGGATTATATAGATGAGCTTCCTAGATGAGAGTGTTCGACACTGCATTGCCATTAGGTGCAATTTAATTGTAGTTGTGGACTATTGACTGCATTGTAATTAGCTGCAATTTAATTGTAGTTGTGGACTATTGACTGCATTGTAATTAGCTGCAATTTAATTGTAGTTGTAGACTATTGACTGCATTGTAATTAGGTCCTAATTTTCAGCATTGGACTAAAGACAGGCAAAACATTTTCAGTACCTTAGTCATTTTTGTTAAATAGCTTCTCCCTCAAACACTTCAGTGCCAACACATGCTCAGATCTCACATCTTCAGGCATACTTGTTGTCTCTTTCATCAATAGCGCTCGATATGTTTCTAGCATGACTGACTCCTTGTGCTCTTTTGCTGCAAGGTGTGCAAGCTTCCGAGCTTCAAGATTCTCACTAGACACACGCCTTTACGTCTCTAACATCTCTCTGCGCCCTTCATTTGCTATTTTCTGAGCATCCAAAAAGTTGTTAAGCTCATCTTCAAGATCTGCATCTGATTCACCACTAGCCCATAGAGCGTTGGCCTCTTTCCAGCTACCACAAAACCATTGAACCCTTTTCTTAATTCTTAGAAAGTGATCTTTAATTTGCTTGACTTGCCTTGCTCGGTCTTTTGGGGTGGTGCTGTTGTAGATATCAACAATACTTTTCTAATATTGATAATTTTTCCTGTAGTTGGACTGGATAGGGTCATTTGAACTTTTTAATCAAGCACTAACCTACAACATTAACAAAAGATGATTACCAGGATGTTTTTAGTGCAACTCATGGATGGAACTAACAGAAAAAATAACATACCAATCTCAGATCCTCCTTTTTTGTCCATAGCATGTGTTTTTCAGTCCTACCACACTTGCCATCATCTTCATCATCAGCAAGATTGATTGCTTGCGATTTACTCCCATTGCTCACTAAGCCTCTAGAGCTTGCTGTGCTATTCATAAAACTCATGAAACCACCAGGAGGGTAAAGATTTGGTTCCCTATAAAAAATGCATTAAATCAAAATAGTCTTTTAAGCACTCACGTCACCATTGACTTATCAGTTTTCACAACTACAGTGAACATATTACTTAACTTAATACATACTACCAGTTCTGCCAAAAAAATCTAGTACAAAAAAATACCAATACATACAAGATGACTATAGTACATAGCATATGAGCTCAAACCAGTAAATTTATAAACAAAGGATGGTGCATTAGGATAGCAATGGCAAGAGATTAAATGTAACTGAGAAAGATTCATGAGTAATGGAGGATACATACCATGCCTGCACTTCAGATTCATCATCGTTCTCAGCCACAGGCTGAGAAGATACGGAGGGAGGCAGCATCCACGACGAGCCTTGAGGCATGGAACCCGCCAAGCCTAGTTGCTGATGTCCGGCATGCCACCATGGTGCAGAGGACGTTGAGGACTGCATAGGTGGTGTTGGAAACCAGGTGCCGAGTCCATGCGGCGGGATGGGAAGAGGCTGCTGCGGTGGAATCTCCATAGGCGCCGGTGCAGACGTCCTCTTCGATTTGCCACCCATCTTGCAATGGCTCTGGCGGCGGGTTGCTGGTTAGGGTTTGGGAAACGAGAGTTTTGCGAGGATTTGGGGCTTTTGTCCTTCAATTTGGCGCGCAAGGCATTGATTCGGGAGGAGAGGAAACGATTTTGGCGCGAATCTGGTGGAGTTGCGGCGGGATTTGGCGCGCGGGCGAGCAGGGAAGGGCGCGGACGAGTGGAAGGTCGGGGGTGCCGCACGAGATCGAGAAGGGAAGGAGGTGGGGAGCGAAGCGTCGACCAAAGCACCCGCACCCGGCTGCGAATGGACGGTGTGGTGGGATTCAGCTCGGGCGAAGAGATAAGCGCCGATCCATTCTCTCTCTCCTATTCTCTCTCCACCAAATCATCTGTTTTCCTGATGTGTCCTCTGTTTAGCCGGCTGACTCAGCCTTATAATACTTGCTCTTAGTACAGCAGTCCATGAGAGCTTTCAGGACGACAGGACCAACGTCTTTTCCTATTGCCGATCGACGTCGTCTGTCTTTCTCGTGGTCTCGTCTGACATCCAACACATCATGCCTCGACTAGTCAACCGAGCGTGATGCCGTCCTACTTGTACGCGAGCCCATCAGCCCGAGCGATGGTCTCTTCGGCGCCGCGTGGGACATCGGCCATACCTTATGGAGTGGAGCGGTTCTTGCAGCAGCTGCTCGGTGGCGACTTCTTTCTCTGTTCGAGGGGCAGGAGGTCAGGTGGCTACCAGATGGTCCCAACTCCCCATAGAATATATAGATCTTCAGCCAAGAAGCCTGGCACTCGATAGTACATATGTATCAGCCTTAGTTATTTCTCTCCGAAGAAGCAAGAATCACCCATTGCATCTAGAGTTCATTAAGGGCCCGATGGTTCCTTGTAATTGAATTCATTCTAATAATTATAATTTAGACATATATTAATTAAGTTAATATAATTATATATGAAATATATTTGTATATTTATTGTTAGACATACAAATGACGTACTTATATGTTGCATTTCTATTGTAGGGAAACAAATTGAAGAATGTGCTATAAGTTGGATAATAGAATTATAGCATAGTGATCTATAGAATCCATTTTCATCTTCCACCCTATGAATTTAAGATAGACTTATTTGTGAGCTTAGGAATGTTACGGAATATCAAATTCCAAACCAAATAGCCTAATCTATTATGTAGATTTTAATTCCTCCAAAATGAAGGGATCCAGACGGCCCCTAATAATAATTTGGGAGGGAGAAGATTGGACACCTTTGACTCCAGAACTGTTATTTCGCTTCATACGGGTTGCTTAATGCAATCAATACTGTCTATATTCCATACCGTCAGAATTCAGATGGCTAACAACAAAAATGTAAGGGGTATATATATTGACTGAAATTGCAGATAAATAAGCCTCCGTCAGCATCTGCTGTGTCACTTTTAAGCTATACAAATGGTATATATATGCTACCAATCGAAGTCTTTGGACATGCTGTAGAGTAGAGATGAGACAGGTATTCATAATGGAAGACGTGGTTGAAGTTAACGAAAAGCAGGGTAGTACTAGTAATCTTTTTTTTAGGGGAATTTAAACTTGTACTAGTAGTCTTAGTACCATTAAGATGAGTTATCAATCTGAGTTTTGAGATCCATCAAGTTCATTGCTCAACATATGGTGCAGAAGAATATCAACCATAGTACCCTTCGTCTTCACACTGCAGCACGTCAGCACTTTGTAAGCAAAGGATGCAACAGTAAGGTACGAAGAACTTAGCAAATACACTTCAGTTGATTACCGCATGGATCGCCGCTTGTTTCTTCCTTCGGGGGTAGAATCCTGCAAGGGTGGACAAATACCCTCAACATTAGATACAATGATCTGTGTAACTACTTTTAACGAAATATTTACTTGGCAAATGAAGTAAAATGGTGACAAAATGATAAGTAAGTTTTTAAAAATCTAAATGTGGCAAGTTCTTCTCCACCAAGTGTCTGGTGCGGTAAAACATGCTGAAGTCATGATACTAGTGCCAAATGTGTCGTTGGTTGAAATTCCCTTTTCAAACCTAGTGAAATTAAACCTCTTAGTAGTGAGAGGCTAATTTGAAACTTTTTAAAACGATACTGTGAAGCTGTGTATATCATAGCCAAAGGACAAAGTAACCAGAACTGAATAGCATTCTGGGCTCATTAGCAAATAAGGTACCAGCAATTCCTTAATTACTGACTTACACCGGTTTTCTGAGTAGAGTAATGATAATTTGTTATGAGCAGAAACATTCGTCTAACCTGCGTATCAGCTTCTCTAGCTTTCTCCAGTTCCATCTCAGCAAAAAATGCCTCCAACACAAATGCCACAATCTGAAAATACAAAAGGCTCCATATGGTGACAAGACATCTAATAGCAAAAAAACAAGGTTAAAAGCATACTTGGAAGTATCATTTCTGAATAAAGTTTAAAGCTAATCACAAACCAATCATAACTAACAAAGTTTCTGTTGCGGAAATTAGAAAATTTATATCATGCAGAAGCCTGGACCAACTGTTAAAAGAAAAAAATCAATATCTTACCAGATTAAGCAGCAGTAATACTGAAATAAGGTAAAAACTGACAAAATAAACCAGGCTCCAAGAACTTCCAGTCAGGTGTGCATAGCTCTGAAAGAATGGGAAAGGTTAGGGGAAAAAATGCCATCCAATACAAAATTGGTTCAATACTTCTGCCAGAAATCTTCTAATAATCGTTTAGACAGACAATCCAGAACCCATGAAAAATTAGGGGGCAGTTTCAGGGAAAGACATAAGTATTTCAAGCTAGTTCCTTAGATTTTAGAAAAATCAAGTCAAGCAAAATAAAAGGACGTGCATAACAAACTGGTTACATGTCAGACCCCTAAAAGAGATGGGTCAAGAAAGAAAGCAGATTGAAGTTTAAGGGTGCGTGCGAAATTCTTACCTCCATCCAGACTTGCCAATTGCCCATCACTAATAAATTGAACAGAGTAACCATACCACTTGGATAGTCATTGAAGTTGAAAAGAAGATAACTATATACGTCAAGGGCTGACAGTACTGGGCATAGTACATTTTGATATCATAGTAAGTATTAGTATAGAGGATATGTGAGCCAGGACAAACTGTAGAAGTCTACGTGAAGACCAAGATAAAAAAAGGATACTTGTTCCCAAAGAGATCTGTTTCTTCCAACTTCGAGTTTCCTGCATACACGATGCCACCGAAAAACTGCAAACAAAAGAGCCACAACCATCATCTTATGAAAAACAGAGATGTAAAAAATGCCTATGGTATTTCAACAATCAATGCATGTAGTTCAGCTCAGGAAAAGCCCAAGCAACAGGTGTTACAAGTAATTTGTGATCAAAGAGAAAAAATATCTAGCTAACAGGTATATGTAGTTATTATACAGGTGTTCAACTAAACAAACTGAATCAGTAAATTGCAGTCCTTTACAGACTGTAGATTTAAGTTAAATTCCTTACTTGACACCTGTGATAACTAACCATAAATGCTACGTGTTTAATAATAATTAAGCTCTCAGGTGAACTAGTTTATGCATATTTATCACGGCAAAGCACAATTATATTAGGACCTGTAAACCAATGGAGCAGTATACACAAAGTATACAAAACACAATCCCCAAGTATGGCAACAAGCTAGAAATGAGGGTAAAGAATGTCGCAACAAATGCTCTGAAACGCTGAACTTGCAACAAAATTCTTGTTAAACGCAACATCCTTCCAAGGAGAAGATATCGAATCCTGTTAACAGAAAAATCAAAGGAAAATGAATCACATATTTGACAGCAAGATTGTTACAACAAGCAACAAGAAAATGTTGTCAGATTTTTCTCAGTGCTCTATCATCTTGAAGTGGCAAAAATATTGAATTTACAATTCTTAGGAGTACAGGCGTACAGCACAGGACAACTCTGGGAGTACACCCTGAATCATCAACACATGTAGCTCAACATAATTGTGACGGTGGCAGGTCCTTGACTTGCATTTGCAATATAAAGGAAACTGAATAATAGCTTAACATAGATGCAGAGACTTCTAGGCATATTTGTAAGGACGATGTGTATTTACAAGGACTAGACTAAATTTTTGAAAGTAGTGCATCCAAAGTGATGTTACCATTCTCCGTTTGAAAGAAAAGGAAGCGTGGATGGGGAGGCAAATGTCAGGGTCTCTCCAATAACTACAGGAAAATGGGAAGTTAGATACTACAAGAATCATTTACTAGTACACTTATTTTTTTTAAATCACTATGACTTCAGAAGATGCCCTCATAGAAACGAAATAAATAATTCAAGTAAAGCATCTTGTCATGAACTTATTTACAGTGAGGACTTTAGGAGATGTATGCAAACTCCCCGAATATTGAGAAAAGGTGTCTTTATAGCCCAGAAGGCTTTTATAGACAAACTATACTGTTGTTTTTGTAGCTTATTACCTTTATTTTTACTTGCACTTTTTACATATTTGGCTTCTTATGTTATCCTCTTAATGCAAGGATATGCAGCTTTCCTGTGTGTTCTAAAAAAGGATAGAAAAAATCTTAAAATTTAACAAGCATCATGCATCTGGCACAATCATTGTTCTGTAAGAAAATATGGCTATGATTAGTTAAGTTGATTACCAATCAAATCAGATCTAAGACTAACCACTGGAAGTCAGTGCCTTATTACCTTTATCTGTAGACATGTAAACATTATTATGTAACATATATGGATTTCTGTTCTTACAAAAAGGCACTGCAATGCATGATTCAGCGAATTTACAGGTTTTTATTGTAAAAATGGAGCTAATCCTTTGAACCAAAATATTTCACAGTGCAAGTGACTTTTTCTTAATATAATGCAAAATGAAAAAAATAATAATGGAACAGTACAAATAAACTCTTCTAGAACTGAGGTTACACTTACAAATAGTCCAAGTAATCACAAAATCAAACTTATTTTGACCCTCCATCCAATAGGCACCAAATCCTAATGAAAATATTTTGAGTGCCATCTCCACAACATAGATCCATCCTACAACATAAGATTAGTATTAGCATTCATGGTAATAAGGGAAACACAATATATGGTTAAATAAATGTTTCAGGAATGATGTCTTCCAGGATGAAATAGCACCAAGGAAGCACTTCAAATGCTCAGCTAAGTGTCAACAGGACAGATAGGAGGTGACAAAAAGGAAGAAATGTAGGAAATGCAATTTACGTAGTGCAACACTATTATAGTATGTTACCTCACTAAGCAAGAGCAATGACCAGTCTATAAATAGCCAATCAGGTACTCGCATATTTAGCATATCTTTCTTATGAGCTTCACAAAAGAAAAAACAGGTATTTTATCAGCCTGTTCACTTGCTCGTAAACGATCGTAAATTTCCAGCCAGGAACAGTGTTTTTCTCTCACACCAAACCAGCCAGCAGTAAATAATCCACAATACGATACGGCCTCCCGAACATGCTGTATAACTTATTATATTATTGTGGCAGTGCTTATGTGCAGAAGCATTGCAATTTGCAAAATTTACATTCGCACATGATAAATGAAAAGCCACTCATAGCCTGATGAAACTTTAGCAACCTAACAAAAAGGACTAAGGCCATACCCATTTTCAGGATATACTTAGCAGTCATAACTAGTACTTGGACCAAAAGCTGTATGCACCTAGTGGAGATTTTGTAGGCATGTGCAATTTACTAATTATTCTAGGGAAATGCATAGCAACTGGACCAAGATACCCCCAATAGAAAATGTTGACATGTTTTGGACACTAAGGTATCATCCCTAGATTATTTATTTATTTATTTATTTATTTGAAAATGGATCATCACGAGAACCAGATCATTTTTTGTAATTGTATTTAGAAAATGATGTAGATGTTTTCATTTTAAAACTTTAAAGTTAGATGTTTACTGCAGCCTTGATTACATGCTACAAACCATTTCACTGATTCATATTTGCCACAGTACTATGGCTGTATGCTACTCCCTCCATTCCAAAATGTAGGGCGTTTTGGTTTCGTCCTAAGACAAATTTTTCTTATATTAACCAAGTTTATAGAAAATGCACCAATGTCTATAACATCACATTAGTTTCATTAAGTGCGCTATGAAATATGAGATAGAGCATTCATTTGGTATTTTAGACGTTAATATATATTTTTTAACTTGGTCAAAGTTAGAAAAGTTTGACTTAGGACAAAATTAAAACAACCTACATTTTGGAACAGCAGCAAGAACAAAAAGAAATGTTGTTTGGCAAATTAAGTGCAAAAGACTACCGGAACATTGTGGCATAAATAACAAAGAGACTGACTTTAAGTTAGAAAGTCAAAGACTCAACATAATATACCATTATAAATTCCATCAGAGCGACTAAGGACATGTTCACCACAATATACTTACCAAAGACAAACTCAACTTCTTGCCACACTTTCTGTGAAGAGCTGTTCTCTATATCTAGCTGCAAAGATCACAGCCAAGAGATTGCATTTTATTTGACTCAAACTCTCAGTGTGCTATTACATTAATTTCAATTCTAGTTTATATTTGTAAAAAGAAAGATACACTATTGTATCTATTATATTTTTTCTCAAATACGCTGCATATCACTGCAAGTATCTATTACAAACTTTGTTTCAGCAGAAACGAGACATCGAACAATCAAGGCTTTCAATGGAACAAAGCAAACATAGGTTGCTTATTTCACCATGCCAGTAAAAGGATATATATGGTGGGGAATCCTCATAAAATTTTGTAACGGTTGCTGTTCTGGCAGAGTTGTAGAACTCTTGTTCAAAAAAAATGCCAAGATTACATATTTCATTTTTGTTTTGTGTGCATTCTCGTACCATCATAAGAGTACCCAGAAGATCATCATCTGGGAAGTCATAATCAGTGTGTATCATGGCATCCAGAACTCAGAAAACATGCTGCACTTAGTGGATACTGTTAGAGTGGACTGTACTAACCAGATGAACCCAAGCTTTTGGGAAGAGGTAGGCAATCCACTTAAAAACTTTAACACCCCCACTCACATGCAGCCAGAGACGAAGGCGCAAACGTGGAAATAAAAGGGGCAGAGGCAGAAATGAAGCCTTTGCCAGGACTCGAACTCGAGACCTCTAGCTTTGATACCATCTTTAGAGTGGACTGCACTAACCAGATGAACCCAAAAGCTTAAGCATTTGGGAAGGGGTAGGCAATCCAATTATACACTTCAACAGATACATCATACAAGTTCGTGACATGGAGGAGACATGAGATGGGATGGTGTGGAGACAAATAAAGAAAGTTAGCTACTTCATGACTCTGCTTCAAAATTACTTGTCTTACACAATAACTAACCTAACTAGTAAAACTAATGTAGACTCTTTAACTACAATTGTTAACGTATATAAAAGTTTTAGAATTAGAATCCTATCATATTACATGTGTAAACATGAACATGAACAAACCAACCTTCCTGAAGGTTCCTCATGTGGGACAAAATATATTCATATATTTACCATGGAACACATACTTAGTGAACGAAACATGATAGTTTACCTTCCACCAATACAAAGAATTGCTCTCATTTTTTTCATTTGTAAAAGAAACACTTATAATTTGAAGCTTTGCTGCATGCATTCCAAAGATTCAATACATCTGACCTCTAAGAAGTCAGAAGCATGAAGGTTTATAAATCACAATCATATTTACTGGTCAAATTGTCATTTTATCCAGCCAGGTAAACATTAAGAAAATATGACTGCTCATTATGAAATTGAGACAAATATAAAATGTGGAAAAAAGAAAAGGAAATAATGCTGCACCTCCATACCGTTGTTTCAATAACGACAGCAATTAGGTTCACCAGAAGAACAAAGACAACAATATACTCAAACAGGCGACTCCGTACAAAGGACTTCAACCTTTCACACTGTGGTGAATGGTAGAAAGATGGGTACTTCTCCAGATATGAAGGCTGCAAAGACAAAAACAAAAATACAAACCAGTCAAACTGTCAGTTACAACAACATGGGATCCTATCCTAATGTCCTATACTCTTATAAAGCTAAACCCCACTAGACATTTCTCTCAACATGCAAGCTATCCACATCAACAATACACTAGAACTTGCAATTATAGCCAACTAGCACATGTAATTATGATAGTTATCTCTTCATCCACTAACATGCATTTAGCTGTCCACATCGATGTGTCAAACCATTCACCAAAATTAATTTAAGATAGTTTCATTCATATAACTATAAATATAAATAGTCTAATTTCTTTATAAATTATCTGGAATCCCCGCAGCAACGCGCGGGGTATTCTCCTAGTTAACACTAAAAGTAAATGATTGAAATATCGCTAGTTTTGATCTGAAAAACATCAGTTCTGTATTAGTGGTAGATATATCTTTTCCTAATCTAGTTACTGCTGACAGTTAGTGCTTTTCTGCTCTCCCAAAATTTAAATACACAAATCCTAAGGCATTATTGTTAGTGGTTGGAACAGTGCATCAGACCCTTGATGCCCCCTTTTTGGTTGAGCATAACAGCACTATCATTTATGCACTGCAAGTATAGGTACAGGCCCTGAATGATAGATTTGTAGTAAGAATATGATTTCATAAAACTAGAGTTCAAATATGCTTTCACATTATAGCTTGTGCTTGTACATAACACAAATGTTTGACAATGAATCAAGCCTCGTCCAAATATGAGCACAACACAGAATTATGAGCAATTGAAGCAGTCAACATACTGGTGGTTCTTTCTGGAATTTTATTGCAATAGTATTGCATAGGTCAGCAAATTCCTCGGAGGTAACCTGTATAAGGGTATATGATTTAAAATCATCAATATTGATATGCAAGCATATTTATATTTTGAAAAATCAAAGGTTAGAGGTCATAAATAACAGGCTGGGAAGCTAGCAGAACTTCAATATTATATTTACTTAATTTTCTCTGGATTTTTAAATTACAGTCCAAAAACTTGAAACTTTCAGAAAGTAGAGAAGCCAGTGTTTGATTAACATTTCTGCACAAATACTTAAACATGAGCATGCAGCAGGTGTACACTGGTCTGTTCCACTAGATGGAGCACTCAAATGCCTACTTTTTCTTCATCATGGTGCTAATGAACTTAGACAAATAATTTATTCTCTGATTTATAAATGGCAGACATTCAAATGTACATGAAAAATACCAAACAAATTATTAAAAATTTAAGAAGCAAACCACAAACATTTTGGAGCTCAATAACATTCCATCTCAAGCTAATATTTTGAATATCAAAGACACATTATTTAAAAAAAATCAAAATTCCAATAAGCCTTTAGAAAAATCACAAACGCAAAAGTATATAATCAATATACCAAATAATTATAGTAGCCCCCTTTTCGTGTGTGTGTTTTGGGGTGGGATCATACCTTGAAATCACCACTCTGATCAAGCTCGGCAAAGATTAGTTCAAAATCTTCCCTTGAGGTTTTGGGCAACGACCTAAAAAGAGGTTCCATGACATGATGATCTAAAAGCCACCAGCAATTCAATGATGTGTACATCAAATGTTAAATCTTTAGCATGTTGGATCCCTACTGGCTACTATGTTAAACTAATAAAGGAAGATTCAATTAAGTAACTCAAGACCACCATAAGCGCTGTTGCAAAATGTTGCGCCAGTGGCGACACCAAAAGTGCAAAACTAAAAAAACAAACAGCATAAGATGATGCACAGCAACAACAAAGCGGGCACCAACAAGGGTATAAGAGTAAAAAGTGTATAGCAAATTATGTAGATGAAACCAAAAGACATTTCGTATTATGAATACTGAGCTATAATTAGAGTGCTAGAATAAATATACTGATACTAGTTAGTAATTTAGTATCATACTATCCTTTTTTTTTAACCTAATATCATACTATCCTTACTTGAAAGGAAAATCTAATTTGGTTGTGAACAGGATAGTTCTCCAGGAAGATTTGACAAGATATAATGCACCAGAGAGCGAAAGGAGACACTTTAGTTACCTGTACTTGTTCAGCTCATCAAGCAATGATATGCACTGTTCCTTGTTAAGGTAGCCCTGACCCTGATGCACAGAAAAAGGGAACATATATTACTGCTAAATTGGATAGTACATCAATGTCCAAGAGAACATAAAAAAGGACTCACGTTAGTGTCGATGAGATCAAATGCCTTCTGTAGAATACTTTTCCTTATACAGTCCATTTGAGCAAGTTGTTTTGCAAGCTGGATCACAAAAAAAAGTTCCATGTATGCATTCAAATTACATTTTGGCATAGCAAGAACACAGCAGAATTCGGAAGATAAGAATACTAATGTTCAAGAGAATTAGGATGCGAGGAAGGATTCTACCTGCTCTTTAAAGCTATCATAAATGACAGCAAGAATCAAATTTGTTAGGAAGTAAACTCCTAACAGCACATAAATAACAATAAACAGGGCGTTCCAACGAGAGCTCCTACTCAAGAGATGTGTGAGCATGTGTGAGTGAATCTGAAGGAATTATCAAAACTCTTCAGGAATAGTGATGCGCAGCTTACTTGTAAGCAGGGACCCATACGTCAGGATTATTGGATGTGGTGAACAGGACAAACATCTGATATAGTGTTGTACCGTATGATGTGAAAATGGTCTTTCCTTGTGGCGTGTCCTCAAATGTTACATAGGCTAGCCAGCTTGCAAATAATAGGAACAACAGTGACAGAGCCTACAAATGCCGGTGACAAAATCATATGATGAAACTGAAAAAGATAATGCGCACAACAAACTTATAGGCATATGATACTATGAGTGGTATAAAAAACAAAGCCTCACCAAAACATTAAGGTATGTCCCAACAATGCCAACCAGCGTAACAGCACACATTCGCAGTTCCCTATTGCAGAAAGGAATGTTTACTCAGTGTGTCAAAAACACAGCAGTCCTTAACCAACAATGAACGTGCTCTGTGCGCGTCTCAAATTCCTTGTTTCTAAACAGTATGACTCTCCTCTTAGCTTTTATATTCCATGTCAGTTATACATGGATTTGGTTGGAAGCCCTCCTATTGTGTTCATTATGGCAGCAGAAGTAGCATCAGTTTGGGCAGATAAACACATACCTGATCGTCATGATAAGAAATACGACGCGAATGTACGGAGCTACTCTGAAAGGTCCAGGACTAAGCATAAACACAAGTATGTCGCATGCTAAGATGAAGAGAAGAAGAACCTGCAATGCAAACCAGAACCATGAACAAATTACAATGACTGGAGCAGCAAAAACACATACCCAAACCCAACTCGACAAGTGAGAACAGATGTGTATTGCAGCTGTCTTGGTTAATTCATCAAAGGATGATTACAGAGTACACTTTATAGAAGAGAGCTAGGACTAGGAAGTAAAGGGTCAGAAGCCAGGGGAGGAACCCATGCGACGCCCAGGAGCCAAGGCAGCACGCTGGAAAAGTTCCCAGGGGCAGGCCAGCTAACAGTAAAGCAGAGCGTTAATCATGCATAGAGAAAATCTCTAACAATAAGAACTAGTAAAACAAGAAAAATAGAAGTACTATGCCTGAACACAGCTCCATCTAAAATGCAGAACTCAAAAGGATCTAGACCTGTGCAAAGCTAGTATGCTAATGACTGAATAGTTTATCACGCACTACAAGATTACACTAAAATCACAAAATCAAGCACGCATTCCTAAATTTACTATCTTAAAATTGGTGCTCTATTTTGCCAAACTGTGTTGTGGTGGGCAAGGGCCAGAAATATTTCAAATCATTTTGCTGACATTACTTTTTGAGGTGACATTTCTCTTTGAACTTGGGATAGCTTTAAAGTAAAACACAGATATTTATTTTCTACTCGTAGTCATTATATCTATATCGCAATGTATAGAAGCTACTTTAACTCTTTCAATCAGCATCTATGCCTTACCAAATGTTTGAGTTATCTGATCTCTACTCTGCTAGCCTCTATTTACTGTTCCTAGTCATCTATATATAAAAGAAAATTAATGTTTGTCGTTGGCAGGTCTCCAAAAACACAACTTTAGCCATCCTATTTTATTAAAATATAATATGATGGAAATAATTTCTTGAGACAGATTTACACCACATTTTCATATGTACGGTTTAAATATGCATAATATGTTGATAACCAAAGTTCAGCAAAGTTTAGCTACATATTCTAAAATGCCAATTTATGTTTTACTGGATAAAGATATTATAGTGTATCAAAACCTACTTTCACTGTTTCAAACCACAAAAATAAATAATATTCAAGCACTCAGATCTATGCAGAAATGTGCCCAAGAAGACATTAGCGAAGACAAATGTGTTACCTTCAATTTGTTCATGGAGTTCTTCCAGAAAATATTTAAACCTTCATAGGAAAGTGGGTAGAAGATATCCAAGACAAGAATGACAAGGGTAAGCGCCTGAAATTAAGAGTAAGCAACATAAATCTCTGATTTTCAGACTCCTTATAAGAAACTATATGTTCTTCATTCAAAACATGCACAATTGTTTACTATGATAGCTCCAACTCTAACTGAAAGTCTGAAAATTTGTAAAAGACTACTTTAGGTAAAAAGGGCGTACCCAGGTAACTGAAGATAAATATACATGCCCTGAAACACACTACTGACCATAATAATGCTTTAAGGTTTGAGTCATTAAGTTCTTGCCTAGGCACTGAAGCACTATACATGTCAAGGAAGCATTACCTCATATACGAGTGATTCTGTTTTACTTAAGTATGGCAGCTGCCCAAGAAAGTAAAGATCCCTTTGATCACAAGTATGTGAGGCGTATTTTTGGCACCAGAGAGGCTTCTGGAAATGCAAATAAAATATCTCATTAATTGTTGTAATGGTCCTTGTGATGACATGTCATTATTTTGGCCAAAGCAAACTTGTTACACTTAAGATGCCTAGTTTCAGCTATGAGTAACAAAAGGTCAATGTTGACCTAAGAACTTATACAGCATAACAAATGGAGATCGCAAATATTGGGAACTGACCTCTAGGAAATTCAATAGAATCAAAGCAAATAGGTTAAGTGACCAGAGCCAATCCAATCGGAGATACACGAAATAAAACCTCATGGCCCTCTCAAACCTTTGTGTCATTCAAGACATCCTCAGGGATACCGACACCATCTTCTGCCTGTCAACCAGAACTGTACTGAGATTTTCAAACATGCCACAGGAAATGACAACAAAAACCTAATTTCAGATTGACAAATAAGCTTCATCGTTAATTGTTCATTTCTTGTCAAGGAAAAGTGCATTTTGCCTCCAATAACTACAGCCCAGCTCCCAGGAATAAAATAACGTTGTTTTGTAGCACGTAATAAATAAAAATGTCAATTCTGGTAAGGTAAAATTCTGTGTCAAATGCAAATATTTCTTGACGCCGTAACTGTGAAATCATCACTAGTTACATACAGCATCACAACTACCCCATATCCTACAACACAGCACAGTAGTGCATCATCTTCAAACAAGCATCAAACATATGGCAACCACACACTCAGGTCAATAGTGAACTCCACAAGCAAAAGCACTGGAACGTAAATGCTCCTCCATATGCTGATATGCATAAACAATTAAGTATCCCCAGAGGACGAAACACTCCAAAATCCAAACCACCCGAAACTAACATAAACAGCACATGAAGCGGTACCTCGGCTTCATCTCGACGTTCTAACCAGAGCACAAACTCTGAAACAAATTTTGTGCAACAACCCACAACCCAGAGCTCAACGTTGCATCTCACCACGTAAGCACGCAACTGTCTCGAACAGGAAATTCGTCCACTCCACCAACAGCAAACTACCTCACCGACATCAACAGGCTACCAGCACCTCAATTCTCAGATACAGCAAAGCATCACAGCATTTCACATAACGAAGCAAAGCGGGGAGAGTGCGAGAGCAGTGAGAGGCGGAGCGGGAACCGACGAGGTCGACGAGCGCTGCCGCCTTCTGGTAGCGGTCGCCGTACGCGAGCGCGTCCGAGCGGCGGTGGTACTGCCTCGTGCCCCGCACGCCGTTGCCCAGGCCAGAGCGGACCCCTCCGGCGGACGCGGAGCCGCGGAAGCCATGGCCCTCTTCCCCCTCCACCTCGGTGATGAGCGGCGCCTCCACTTCAGCCATCGCTCGCTCCACCTTGACGGGGACAAACGCCGACGGAGATCTGGAAAGGCGAGCCAAATCTGGGATTAAAGTACTACACTTCCACGCTCATCCAAGTGGAAGTGGAAGTGGAAGTGGAAGCAGGAGCGGGGGTGGGATTAAAGTAATCCGACGCGAAGGAGAACGTGTTCAGTTAAGGAGTCCGCCACGCTTGGGAACAAGTCTGTCGTAATCATATGGCGATTTGTAGCTTTGGAGCGCAGCTATCGGCGGGTACAACATCGCGACGAACACGCGTTGCACGCTGCCGTGCAGCGTCTGCCGGTTCATTGGTGGGCGCTGGTGCTTGGTGTTTGTGTACGCACGTCGACGCCATTGCCGCCATTGCCGAAACGAGTGGCTTTCGGAACGGACACGGGCGTGATGCCGACACGAGGGCCTTACCTATACTTGGCCATCGGGCCGGCCCGACACGGCACGGCACGGGCCCGTGCCAGGCACGGCCCGGAGGATGTCGGGCCGCACGGCGCACGCTGGCCTCCGGGCGCGTGCCCAGCCGGCCGTCGTCGTGCGACCAAGGGCCTGAACGCTACTGCTGGGCTGCTTTTTTGACCGGCCGGCCGAGAAGGCACGGCCCGCTGTTGCGTTCAGTGGCCCGAGGGCCCACGAGAGAGGGAAGGGGAGAGCAGGAGGCAAGGGCAGCCACAGGAGCGCGCGCCGCCGTCGGCCGCCTTCGCCGCCTGGGCGGGATGTGGGGCAGCGAGGGGAGGTAAGGAGCGGCGGCGATTCTTTGGCGTGCTTGAATCCGCCATCGCCATTCGAATCTGCCATGGATGTCGTGGCGTATGAGAGGAGACGCCGCCGCCAGCAGGGAAGGCGGAAAAGCACACGAAGCGGCGCGCCACGCCCCGCCTTCGCCTGGTGGGGAGGGGGCTGCTGGCGGGCGGAGGAGGCGACCAGCGCGCGCTGACGATCCGTCGGGTGAGCGGAGAAGGGAGCAGGAGGAGGATGGATGAGGTCGGATCCGTGGAGGATGGAGGAGGCCGCCCGCTCGACATTCTTCTGCTTCTTGCCGAGCTCGACACCTGCGTCACTTCTTTGCCGGGAGGAGGCCGTGAGGGGAGGGAGAGGCCCGTCCACACCAGCGCGTCATGGGAGGAAAGACGAGGCGTCTTGTTGCAGGCTTCTTGCGGGGGAGGGATCATGCTGGGCGCCGCCAGCGGGGGGGGGGGAGGAAGGAGTTAGGCCGTTAGGGTTCGAGGGGTGGGGAGTGGGGGCTGCGTGGGGCTCCGGCTCCATGAGAGGAGAGCAGCGCAATGGCCAAGGCCAGGCGGCTTATATATATGAGGAGGGGGAGGGGGGATGGTGGGCGGCCATGTTGGGCCATGGGAGAGGAGTGGAGTGAGGAGAGGGGGGGGTGGCGTGGCCACCGCCGGGCCGGGGGTGGCGCAGCCGGGCAGGTTGCGTGCCGTGCCACGGGCTCGAAAGCAGCGGCTGAGCCTGACCGCGCGCTTGCCTTTCGGGTCAAGACCAGCCCGGGCCCGCATGTTACCGGGCCGTGTCGTGCTCGTGTCGGGCTAAAAAACGTGCTTCGTGCCGTGCAGTCGTGCCTCGGGCTGCATGAAGTATAGCCTTACCTGGCTGGACAAGGACAATGTCGGCAAGATCACAACGGTTCGCAGATATGCAAGAGCATATGGTACAGTAGGCTGTTGATGCCCGAACCCTGTCCACACACACTGGAGCACTATGGCCATGTTTGTTCTTGTTCATGCAACCTAGAAAAGTTTGGCACTCGTCTACCGGAGCACATCGCCAGGACAGATGATGGGCGTCGGCGCCCCGGTGTTTCTTGGCCGGGAGGACGAAGTGACAGCGCCATAGTGGCTTTACAAAGTCCAATGACTTTTGGGTTAGCGAACAAAATGTAGCTCGATTAGTTTGAATTTTCTTTTCAGATGGAATCTTTTCATCTAAGTCATTTTTTTTACTTGATATGGGTGCTCATTTGTTCGTAGATTTATTCTAAGATTTAATAGTATTATTCTTTTCTTGGTAGACAACGTGTTCGTTAAGTGAGCCTATCTCAACTGATTGAGTGAGAGGTATGACAATGCACCCAGCCACCCAGGTTCAAGTTCTGTCTTAGACTGAATTTATGTGTGTCTTTTCTCTTCTTAATGAAAAAACACCTAGTTCCTCTTAGGTTGATGGATAAGCGTTGTAACGAGATGCCCAGGTCTTTTAGAGGGATTAAGTTATATGGCCGGGACTTTATATTTAGGATTAAGTGACATTATTTTCGCCCAAAATTCGGCAGCAATGCACGGGGTGAATTTTATTAGATGGCTATAGGGGCTAAATAGTCTAATTAAAAGTTTCTACAAATCACAACATTAAGCAAAACGTGAGATAACAATGCTCTAATAAAGCTACCTCTAGCTATTGTTTAGCAAGCTTTGATAAGCATAACTACACAATTCTAGTGATCAAGATAATGGATTACACTAAGTCACCAACACCCTCTCTGAACTAGCCTCTGGTGCTACCACCAAAAGGCTCTGGTGCCCATATATTTGAAATTTCCGCACGTGCCATCTTGTCAGATCTAAACTCTAGTGGTTACCTCTCTGGTGCCACTGCAAGGATATGTTTGTCTCAGTTGAAAACTACAATCCAAGTGTGTGCTCAAAACTCCGTAGTCGAGCCACGGTGACCATTGGTGATATTCGACGAACGATCGGACTTATCCGAACAACAACAACTAAGCTCAGGTGGGTGCACTCTAGTGCCCACCAGATAGCTTCGATGGCTATGAAAATAGTCCACTTAAGCTTATTTCAAAACCTCTTTAAATGGATAACTTCAATAGGTTTCTCGTTGGATGATCATCGCCTTTAGCACTGAGTTAGCATTTTTCAAAAAAAAAAATCAAAGTTTTTCACTTGCATCTCATCGTGCCACCCGATCTTAATGCGCATGCAAAGCTATATCTTACCTAGTGGCACTAGATAATCGTAGAAGCAACGGTTTGTCTCTCTTTATATAGTACACCTATCTCTACCCTATCAACTTAGCCATTCAACTTCTCTAATCACCACATGGCCGGTGAAAATAAAGCCTATGCCTATAACTTCGCCGTGCACTTTGTTTCCACCCTTTGCACTTCCATCTGCCCATCATTTTTAACCCTTGACTTGTTGAGCCTTTACATATTCTATGATCAATGCCATCTACACCACCATGGCCTCGTGTAAGCTCAACCTAGCTTGTGGAGTAAGCTTGGTCTTTTATCTCACAAATGTAACCATTAGTTCACAATTACCAAAATCCAAACAGGTCTTTCAGGTATTCAACTAGCCATCATTAGTTTGCTCTTTTGTTGTGAGCTATCTATTTTGCTCAGCTTGACATTCATATTGACTTTCTTTTTTCCTTGCAAAAAAAATATTGACTTTCTTTTTTGGATTATGTGACCTGTATGGTTTTATGGCTTTGCAATGTGTAACATCTTGTCTAATTTAGCAAGTATATGTCTACCATTTAACTAAATTGTCTATATCTTTTTGTTGCAATTTTGCAATAGGTCAAATAGGAATGAGTGCCTACTTAAAGCCTAAAAATAGACACAAAAGGGATATTAGGCCACCACCAACGCAGGCATATATGATCATATGCCTCATGAAAAAGCGTTCATCCATGTAGGAGCAGGTGCATTGAGACCAACGCAGCCTCAACGCAAGGCACACCTCCATATGCCTCCTTGGTCTCATCATTGACCACTGCCCCTATCATTCTCTATTAACTTTCCCAATCCTCAAGGTTATTCCTCCCCAACGCGGTTGCCATGGTAGCTTCGTCAATTTGTCAGGTGAGGCGCATGCTACCTCTGCAAGCTCCTTTGACAGCTTGCGAGACCACCATCTTCTCACTTTTTTTTGTTCACCTGGTATCCGGGCCTACGTGGACTACAGAGCCACCAGACAGCGTAGAGTGTTGGGGCTGCTCTTAGTATGGATGCAACCTGCTTTTTTAGTCCATAGTTCTTTATTTACTGCACATATGAACATTGAAATTTGAAATTCACCTGTACCTTCGTGTGCCCCGTTCGGCTGACCTTAAATCTGGTTTGTTCGATTTTTTTTTCAATCAAATTTGGTTTGTTCGAACTTTTTTTTTCAACCAAAACAGTGTTTTCTAATCAATTTCAACAAGTAAACAAGTGAACGGCCCGCACCATATAGTCGGTAGCTATAGCAAAAAGCCAAAAATGCACAAACATACTGTGTTCATGTGTTTCTCTCTCTCTCGCTCTCGATTTTCTGATCCCGTGTTGGCGTGTCGATTGCGCAATTCTCCCGTCCGCCTTCATACCCTGCTCGTCGGCCTGGATAAGATAACGCCCATCTGCACGGGCACGAGAAGCGCTCGAACTCCTCCCACCGGCAGCCATGGCCACCGCCGCCACCTCCCCGCTCTTCTCCCTCTCCTCCCTCTGCGCCTCCCTCCCTTCCCCCACCCGGATCCCCACGTCTCTCTCGCTCCGTGCCCTCTCCCCACGTGCCCGTCTCTCTGTCTCCCTCCCTTTCGCCTCCCCATTCGGTACGGTTCTCCGGCGCCTCAGGTTCCGATTCCTAGACGGCTCGGCAATGTCCCTGTGCGTACTCATCGGCTCTTGTGTTGGGAATGGCGGTTTCAGGCGGGTACGGGACCTGGGCGGCGACTTCAACGTCGTCCGCGGGAAGGTTGAGACGGCGCGGGCTTGAGGTGGTGTGCGAGGCCACGACAGGGCGGCGGCCGGACTCGGTCAAGAAGAGAGAGCGCCAGAACGACAAGCACCGCATCCGCAATCACGCGCGCAAGGCCGAGATGCGCACCAGGATGAAAAAGGTACCTGTTTGAATGAGTGATGCTTAGTGGCAGCGACTATATGACTCTCTCCCTGTTGCTTATAATTTCGCCAGGCCTTGTGAGATAGAAATGCTTAAGTGGACCAATGCAGTTAGAAAGGGAGGTTAGCT